TAAGATTATTAAGCTTTTAAAAATATTATCATCTATTTTTCCCATTCACAGAAAGACTGCCAAGGGAGCAGTTATCTTGTTTCCACAGATGGGTGTCATATATCTTTCGATATTTTATATTCCCAAGGGAAATACAGCATTTGATTACGTCGTGCGGGTAATCTTTCCACTTCAGGTAAGGTTGTGTGCTAGTCTTAAGCCGTAGTTCCACTACAGGTTAGGCTGTGCTGTAGTCTTAAGCCGTAGTTAGTACCTTTAGCATAATTCATTCTTTCTTGACTCAGTGTTAAGCACAGTTTTGCCAGTCTTGCCTTATTGTCCTGACAGCTGATTACTGATTTCTTACGAGAGCAAAGTTGGTCAACCGCTCTAAGTGATGATATATAAATTGTTAAATTATGTTGTTATAAGTCTGTTCCATCCACGTATGATTATTATTTTTTTTTAAGAGGCATTGGTTTTTTATTTAGCACCTCATCTGTCATTTATTACTGATCAGCACCTCGAAACTGATTTAAATATACATTGTTTTAATGGTGAATGAGTGGGTCAGTCAGTCTTCAGTCAATCAGTCAGTCCGTCAGACAGCCAGTCTGTCGGTCCGTCAGTCCGTAGTATCCGTCAGTCTGTCAGTCCGTAGAGTCCTTCAGTCAGTAAGTCGGCTATAGTCAGTTAGTCAAGTTAATGGTCAGCCATACTAAGCTAGTTAAGCGGTAATTCTACTGATATGATTAGTTAATTAGTTAATTTGTATGTTAATTTGTCCCCTTTACATCGTCATTAGGGAGCTTTTGCAGCTTTGGTATTTGTTGCGTGGAACTCAGAGGTTCGTCAGAGCGTCAGACAGCGTTGTATTCAGTGGTGGCACCGAAACAGCCCTATGGAGAAAGTAAGTTTCTCAGTACAAATCATGATATGAAATACGAAATACAACACGAGAAGACTGAAAAGGAACGTGGTAACGTATACAGGATAGAGTGAGTTCGATTGAGGGTTGTGAAACCAAACACAAGCGGTTCTAGAGACCAATTTTCATGATGAAGGCTCATACAGTACCGACCATGGGCATAAACAAGTTTTTCTTCTTTTTTTTGTTAGGGTAAATCAAGCAGCTCTGTGGAGGAGCACTGCCACAACAAAATGCATACGAATTTACCAATGACTTTTGAAGATTTTCTGAGGTGTAGAATGGCAACATCCTCAAGTTCTCATCCACCAACTAGGCTCACCAGCAGCGAAACAATCCGGTCAAACCAAGGTATGTTCTCTACATATCTGTTGTTATTGTTGTTGTTGTTGTTTTGTTGTTCTATGTTAATTTGGTCACGGCTTAGATGTTCAATGGTTCAAGGAAACAGAGGGAGGTGGACTAGAACTAGTTAACTGATTTAAAACCCTTCATACGCCAGATAGTGCAGTTATAAGGAGTATTTGTAATAGTAAGACCGAATTGGACGACACGAAGTCTTATAACCAATTAATCATAAAAATTACAATTTCCGAGAAAAGAAGAATAGCCAATTTATGACAGAAAAGGAAAATTTGTATTAAGAGACTGAGAAAGTCCGATTGGATGATTTAAATTACAATTTATTATGAACGCGATTGGTTGATTTAAACTACAACTTTGAATACGATTGGTTTCTTGAACTGCCCGATAACAACTTGGCAAGTGAATTAGTGAAAAATAGGAGTTTTCTAATCCAATCACAATCGAGGAAATTGTAGATGGTAGACACTCAGATCTGTCTACTTAGTTTAAAGCAAAGAGATGCAATCACTTACAAAGAGTTATGACAAAAGAAAGACGCATTGAACCGTTACTTATTGGTGTAAATTTAAGTGATCGCTTTCTACTTTTGAGTTAATTCTCGTTTTGCAGAAGAAATGCTGGATTTGTCACTGAGCCCGCAATCAATCGTTAAGTTCCCAAAGACACCTTCCGAGATGATTGAGCTAAGAGAGATTAGGCAACTGTCACGACAGGTACGTTCTAACTTATAGGTTCAGTCTTTCTGCGGCCCACACTGCCTGCTTTTTTGACTGAAAAGAGGATAAATCACTTTAATCCCTGTTCTCAGAAATTTTTGTCCAAGCCAGGAGCCCATTCTGTCTAAGCTGAAATGGATATGTCCTGTATTTTATTGGTCTGCATGAAAGGCGTCTAATGTAGGAACTCGAGTTGTTATGAATTAGTGATAAGTTTGTCGCTCAGCCATGCTTGGATTTCTGTTTAAGTGAGATGGGATGAAATAGGTATCTCTCCCCTCCCCTTCCCCCCTTTTCCCATTGTATGGTCCCAGAGGGGTCTCCCTTTGGTGAAAGTTTTTCACCCCGACCTTTCTGTGCTCTTAGAAACCAAGAAAGCCGTATTTAGCCCTCACTCACCAAAAATACGCTTGCACTGCAAGCCAGCGTTTCATGGCAAAAAAATAAGAGCTAGCAATATCTATTTTTCTCGTTCAGAGGAATATTCCCGAGGACGTTTGTTATCCTCAGCCAAGCTGTAGCCAGAAAGTTCCGGTGGTAATTCATGTCTCATCTGCTGTCACACCCAACTGTACCTTCTCACTTTCAAACACGAAGCATAAAGCAATTGAAGCCCCAGCCCGACCCCACAGAGAGCGTGTCTCTACGGGATCCTTCGAAGGCGTGCATGACCTTGAGTCGTACATCTGCTGTCATCCAATACAGGCTCAATTTCAGCCCATAATGCGCGAGTCGGCAGACTCTGGTATTGAAGAATTTCACGGTGAGAAGCGCTTGTCCACCGATAGCATGTGGTTTGAGGAAGAGATTCATCTGGATCAGCCACCGCCACTACAAGCCACACTCGCACCCTTTCAAACCAACAGAGTTCTGTTTTCAAAGAGGACGAGTTGCCCCGCAGTCACCGCTCTGCATTCCAAACCGCTGAAACAAACCCTGCCATACAACGTCCGCGAGGCATTCAAAGGCTATGGTGTTTGTGAAGACGCGAAGCAAATGAAAGAACCGCAGAGATTGACAAGATCTGAGAGCTTGTTTTGCGGCTCAGGTTCTCAAGTGTTCCCTATCTCGTCAAGTAGTTATGCATGGGCTAAAGGCAAACAGAAGTCTAGGAAAAAGGTCTTGCAAGAGAGGTCATGTAAATGAGGACACTTGGACTAAGATAATATGAGCTTTTTTGATTTTGAATTTTTTCCTTTTATCGAGAGAAATTTTTCAAGTCATGTTTCAGTTCTTAAAAACATGCTTAAATATGAAAACCATCTCTAAATATTTATGCCCTTCTCTCTATAAGACTCCCCCTTTTTTGTCCTTCCCTTAACCCTATACCTGCCAAGATCTCTTTAGTAATTCTCCTTACTATCTGCCATACAATTCTTGTGATGTTAGTTCAGAGAATTTTGCACTGGATCAACTAATAATCCCCTAATTGATATTTTTCTTTACTCTCATGGCTTGTCTGCTTGATATTGTATTGGTATTATAAGGAGAAATTCTGTTTTGGTCACTCATGGGAGTAAAAGGGTTAAAAGAAACTTTTAAGAATTAGTTTATGCCACTTATTGTTGCAGTTTGTATTCATTGTATTGGAAAGCCTATAAGTGTTTGTATTTAAAATTTACCATGTTTCAACCAAAGAAATATGCATCATATAAAGAATTTATTAATAAAGGCAATATAGAAGGACAAGGGTAATAAAGAAAGCCCCTCCACCCTCTTCTTCATCTAAGGCTCTGATATGCCTCAAGGGAGCTTTAAGTAGAGCTTTAGGTATAGTCACTCTCAGCCATTTCTTGTGCCTTTATGCACAATGCACTTGATGAAAATTGCATTCTGGAGGAACCTCTGGGCACTTAAAATCCTGATGTTTTTTGCAAATGTATTAGTGTAGTTGCCAGACAATCAGCCACAACAAAATAAATGAAAGACAACAATTATAATGTAATATTAGATGTGGTTGACTAAAACAGGAAAAACAGAAATGATCCCCCAGAAATAATTGTGCAAGTGTTTTAACCTTTGCAGGAAAAACCCCATTTCTAACCTCCTCCCCAAGCAAGTTCTCTTCCTGTAACACAATTCAAGTTGTATTTGTACATACTAATTTGTTTTTATTCAAAATGTTATTGTCACTTTGTTTACAAGCTTTAAGTAAGGCATATGATTGATGGTATAATTTCCTATTTACTACTTCATAGTTATATGTATCTCTAGAAAATCAGAGTTTTTGACAGCAATTTCATTAAACTTGAACTAAATGGATGGATTGTTTCTCTTTGAGGTGTGTCTTGTTGAAACCCTTTCACTGCCTGAAGCAAACAATGAGTAATTTATTCTTACAAGAACAATGTTAACAGACAGTAAATGAGAAAAAGAAAACAATTCCACAACATTATTGAAAATGTTATATATTTTAACATTCCAAACTACCATTGTTCCCCTCCCCTCAAATTACAACTGTTGTCCTCCACCTCTCCCAAAAATGACAATTGTTCTCCTTCTGCTTCCCTTCCCATCCATAACTGTTCTCCTTCTCTCTCTACCCCCCCCCCCTCCCAAACTACAATTGTTCTCCTTCTCCTCCCTGCCTAGGTACATCTTTTGTTCCATGCACTGCACGCATGATTTCACAGTATGGGCCAATCACATCCACAGACTTAACTCTTGATATTGGAAAATTGAGGTGATCACTTTTGCATCCACTTGTTGTTTTAGTTTTTTGAGCTTTCTTTCACCTGAAATTTGTCAATTGTTTGTTTTGGAATTTAAGAAGTTTGGAGATCTACATTTCTGCCAAATGTAGTGGTTAATTAATAAATTAATAAAAGTTCATTGTATCTTTTAGTGCAGAGTTGGACCCTAGCCTCTCTTTTTTGAAAAAAAGATCTTTTTAAACACATTATTGCTAAATTCAAAATCAGTCTTTTACATCTTTATAAGAAATGTATGGTGAGAACTTTTAATGAGAATTTTAGGATAAAACAGACTATGAAGGGCAAATGAAACTATAGCTATAGAAACTCTCTAAGGTGGCCAATTCATTTTACCATTACTACTAATAAAATCAAATTATCTTGTAATAGCCTGCAAGAATGCACCACCACAATCATTTTATAAACTTAACCCCTTTCTCCCTATTAGGGTTTTACTGTATGATAACAGAAGCTTCCTAGCAAGCTCACAAACACATGTTGGAACTGCAAATCAGACAGTTGTGTATCAAAATTGCAGTGAGCCACATTTACCTCATCACCTTTGCTCTTTCTCAGAGTCAAACAGTCCAAGCATGAAATGCAAGCAACAAATGAAGTTTCCCCAACATGTGTGACCTAATCTTTGTAGCACATCCACTGAAGACAGAGTTTTACTTCGTTTTCCCTGTAACATGTCTTCGCAGAGAAGGTGGTTTATGCAAGAAAGGATTCCAGGTCCCTTGTATGGATGGATTCTCAGTGTGCCAGTGCTTCCGTATCTTCTCCACTTTCTCTCCTGATTCATTTCTAAGGCTTGTAACGCATTCTTTTATCTTTTCTGGTGTCATATTTTTTACTTCAACTTCCTTGCTATTGCCTCCAACTAAAGGAGAAAAGGAATATATTTTTAGCATTGCTAATATGCAGTGGGAATGGCTCCTCACAAACAGAGATTGTGTTCATGCACAAACCCTAGTCTTCGAATGCATAAACCAAATTACAAAAACATGTTATGCAATTTCAGCCAGTGTGAAATTGCAAGCCAGATTTCCACTCAGTCCCATTACAGGGCATTTAACGATCGATGATAAGAAACATTTACGATCGATGATAAGAAAATCAATCCATCAATCGACGGTAATCGCATACGATTAGTTAATTGGCATCGACTGGCATCGGGTCACATAAAAGTATTCGTAAACTTCATCGATTGGCTATCGACTGACGTTCATTGCCTATAACTGCTACAAGTAACTTACTAAAGTGTCCAGTAATTGTCGGATGTTTTCCACTCCGCTCCATGACGTAAATAGAAATTCCAGGATTGTCTTTCGCAAACTGCACGATGTTCTTGTCAATGTACTCCCTGCAGAAAAGCACACACCCAACATTTACGATCAAAATCGCATCTAAATCATGAAAAGATCGTTTAAATTATTACCTTATTCCTCTACTGCTTCCTCCCTGGTTACAGTAATTAAAAGTGAGCCGTTGTAATGGCCGAACATACCGGCCGAACACTCGGTTAGCGATGTTGATCTGCGCCATCTTGAAATTTGCTTCTTGTGAGTGGAATGAATTTCATGTAACAGGTACTGGATAGTCACCTTAAGGACCCCAATCCCCTTTCGGCTTTTCGTTTGCAGCCGTGGGATGTCACGCAACGCCCACCAGTCATGGCCTCGCAGAACAACTTTGGCTAACTTTGAAATCATAGAAGTATTTCGGTAGAGAGCACTCTCGGGTTATTCGAGTCCGAAAGCCATATTTTGAGATCTACATCCAAGGAATTACAGGGCAGATCATTCTCTCTTTTTTTTTTTCTGTGTACTCATTTTTTTAGCTTCAAAACTATTCAGTTTTTGATAGACACAACTAGCCAAACCTGCTTAACAAGACTCTTTATCGATCGGAATCTTCGAGGAACGTTTTCTAGGTTCAAGACGCGGCAGAAACTCACAACAAAAGCGCCAGGAGAGACTGTCACTGGGAGATTGCTTGATCCTCAGCCTTAACACCAACCTCAATTCTGATCTCCCTGTATTTTCAATAGTGGCACATACCTTTCTGGACCTAATAAGGGATAACCTATGGGAATATTTGTTCTTGCGAGAGGAGGGTGGTAAATTGAAAAAAACATACCAACAAAAGAATAATAAAAACAAATATTTTGAATTTTTTCTACATTTTATTAAAAATTTGCGAGAGCATTTGTTTTACAATCATGCCTGATGTTTCTGTGAGGAGGATTACTGGGAGTTAACCCTCTACAGCATCAAAGGATGAGAATGTTTGATCACAACTGGCTTTTCATTGGAAAGATCTGGTTAGGACAGTCTGTAGATATCAGCTGCTTTCTTTATGATTCAATAGCATACTTCTTTTTTCCATTCTCATTGATTACACATATATGCTGTTAAAGAGAAAAGAAAACTTTCCATGCAACCTGGTGTCACCTAAAAGTATCTTACCAAAAAAAATATTATGAACTGCAAAGAGAAGCTTGCAACTTACATTGAGATCCCTGAAATATTCGTTGTAATCCTACAGGATAAATACATTGTTTTTAGAGAGTTACTTTAAGCATTATGTGAAGGTATGATAAGTGTGTATATATGTGCAGGTATTGGTATTGTAAACAAACTAAGACTGAAAACTCAACCAATAAGTCAGAAATTATCATCAAAATATATACAGTAGTAATTTCTTTCTCTCACCAACTGAAGAATGATACCTGATAATGCTACAAAGTTGGAATGTTTTCAAAGAATATAATGAATTTCTGAGGGAGCTAGCTCGCCCTCAATAGAATACATCTCCACAAAGCAGAAGGTACAAGTTAAGTCAGGTTACTAGCTGGAAGGCCCATCCTACAAATGCACATCACACCAGTAGTAACTCTTATTACCACCTAAAGTCACTTTCAATTCTTGTCTTCAAACCATACCTTTAGGTAGTAGGCAACAACTGTCTCTACATTTTACTTTCACTGGCTGAATTTAATTCCCACAAATCCTTAGCTTACTAGTTTAAATCAATTTACCAGAGCATGCAAGTCAACTTACCAGAGCATACCCAACCACAAATTTATCAGGGATCTCAAATCCAATATCTGAAAAATAAACACAACTTTAAAATTGATTCAGTGATTAGAACTGATTAATTAATCCTCTACCTTGAGCAAAGTACTTCTGGCTCAAGAAGATCGATTCTGATTTTAGGTATGCAAAGTAAATCTCTACATAGCAATTGATTCTAGCATCAGCAGGCATTTTATAATATTTGAAGCATGCAGTAAGTTAGGAGAGCACAGGAGAAGCATAAAAGCAGTTCTTGGCATTCATCACGAGATGAAGCGTGCAGTAAGTTTAAGAAGCACATATCATGCACAAGAGCAGCTCAAAGTGTAGCAGAGATCTACTATAGATACCTCTACTTTCTCGAGTGCTCTCCAAATTTCCACAGTACTTCGTTTCTTAACTAACCCATAACTGATGCATGAACCAATACCAAAGAAGAACACTTTTAACAGATGTTAAAATTATGAACAATGGGAATAGGAGCATTCTCTTGAAATCAAATTTGGTTGAAACAAATTTGATATCTTCCTTTTAATCAATAGCCTATTTATTAATCAATAGATTAACTAATTAATAATCAAATTACAAAATATGCTCTTCATAAAAACTAAACTTTGTTGCCTCTAGAAAAGAAAAAACATGAAATGAATACCGGTAAAAGAATACAGTTTTGTGTCTTATGGGAATTACTTACACTCTGGACGATATCCATTACTCTTCGGTGTTCGCTTCACCAACAAACTAGTGATTGAAAAAATAAAAGTGATAAATAAAATCAAAAATGCTTTAAAGGTACACTCCACATTTTTGCATTTTTTGCCAAAAAGGAAAACAGTCAGCTATCCTGGGTAAAGAAGTATATCAAAGTTTTACCTTGCCACTTTGACAGTTGCAGGTTCAAACTTCTGAAGAGTGGTTAGTAGTTTCTGCATAGTTGCACCTGTATCTATGATATCCTGTAAAAAAAAAAAAATTGAAAAAAAAAAGCATAAAAAACACAGTGATTTCTTTGTCTCGTGATACTACGAGATTGCAAGATGTCAAAACACCATTTCTTAGAGACCCACAGGTTTCCAAAATGTTTAAAGGTCAGTGACCTCTTTAGCAATCTGGAGCAAAATTGGCAAGCGGCAATGGGGTCAAGAGTTGAAGGGTAAAGATGGTACATGCTCTGCTCCTAGTAATGAATGTAAGTTATTTTAAAACTTGTACGTTATACGTAGGGGAAAAAAAAGGTAACCTCTGATTGGATTTGTAAGTCTATGAATTAGACATAAAAAAGTTTGCATGCAAGAAAAGTAACTTTACTTTCTGTTGTAAACCTACCTCAACAACTAAAATGTGCTAGAGAGGAAATATAAAGAATTATCAGTGTTAGTTCTTACAACAAATGACAGAATATAAGAGAGTCGTTATTAGTCTACATAAATAAGTGAAATAATTGGTATTCGCTATTTTCTAAATTCTTCCAATTTACTTCCACCATGACACTATCTAAAATACAGTTAAATGTATCTATCTACAAGTATTATTTACCACACATCATAGAACAAAGATATTACTAAACTGTATATCACTGAAAATACAACAATGTACATAAAGGAACTGATGAGCAAAACTCAGTTCATCAACTCAACAATTACGAGACAACAACAGCAATAAGTCATGCTACAAATTTCACTTACCTTTCCTTTTAGTGCAGACAGGTCATCACTTCCTATGACTTTTACTTCTCCTGAGGAATGGTCATCCTGAACAAAAATTCAATTTGTCTTAAAATGATTACTAAGCTACAGATAACTTGCTCTCAAATTCTCTCTAGGATTTTCTTGAGAGTTAACTGGAACTGATTTTCAATCTTGTGTTCAAAGAAAGAAGCACCGAAGCAGTAATTTATGTTGAATAGTTTCCTCCAAAGACAGAGCATGACTCTGGTCAGGCTAAGTATGGGCACAAGCCTTTGAATGAAGAGTCCCACCATCTTACCATTGGACAGACTGAGTTTCTATCACACAACTGCCTCTCAAAAGCAACCTCGATCTTCCTTAGAGAGAACATGTTTACAATAAACAAGTATAGAACTTCTGTTGCATTGTCACCTAGGAGCAGAAGCTCTTGAAAAATTTCTTGAGACAATTGGCTGTTTTCAAAATAAATTTTTAATTACAGGTACCTCGTAGCTTTTCAATCGGATGAAGTCAACTGACATCTGGATTGACCGATCTGTTTAAAACAAAGAATAATTACTCATCATCAAAATCTATTTTTTAAGGAAAGTCACAAAATTTTGATTTGAATCTTCATTTTACCTTACCCATATTAGCATTTATGGTCCTGATGCAATTCATAAGATCGCCAAAAAACTGATATCCTCCTTTTAGTACACACAATCCAATGAGTGGGCCTTTGTCAACATCACGGCATATATTTCTGGCCAGTCTTTCAATTCTAATTTATAATTGATTAAAGAATGCAAAGTAATTAGAACTGTAGTCTCAGTGCAAAATAAAATTATTTGGTGCCTTTTCAAGATTATATGATCATGCACTTATTTTTATAAGAAAAAGTGATGCAAAAAATGATTGAATCAGAAGCATCCAATAGTTTTCATGATGACTACATCTAATAGCAATTTTTTGCAACCAAAGTGATTTAACTATATTCAATTTGAGAAAGAGGGAGCTCAAGGTGAACCATAGTCTGCAGTACCTTTTGGGAGTTAATTCATTCTCATCAAAATTAGGACTGTTTCTTTCAGGGCTAATTATACTCTCTTCAAGTAAAACAGTGGGAAGTTTCTTCTACACTATCTAATTTTGGAAAAATATCTCTTACTAACTGAGTTGAAGGTTGTACTGTAAGTTACAGACCAATTTTTTTCCTGTTGGATTTGTGACCCACACACAAAGGGTGTAGCCCAAAATTCTGAATGGAAAAAACAAGGTTTTGTAACTAACAGCACAGACCAAAAAAGAAAAGGCTAAGATATTTGTTATCTCTGGATTCAAACAGAGAAGTAATATTTTAATTCTAAAAAACTTTCAAATTTAGTGAGCCTTACAGTGAAAGAAGGCCAGCTAAATTGACCAATCATAGCACATGAATTAAATGAGATATAATGAGGTAGAAGATCACTCAGCATAAACAACGGTCCCCTTTAAAAATCATCTATCACTGGTCTCTTACCTGTCATGAATTAGTCCTTTTGGTATCATAATTGATTCTACATCATTCTCATAGTGTTTTGGTAGGCAAAACATATCCAGGGAATAACCTTCATAGTTATCTGGAATCTGTAAAAATAAGTGCAGGTCGCCTCCCCAGTTAACAAATTCAGTAATTACTATATCCCTTTTACTTTTCAAATGAAAAATATAACCTTAATAACATCCTAATGGAGAAAAATTTCTGTCAATTTTTAAGCCAGAGAGTGTTACCCTCGTTCTAAATGCAAATACCTCTCCAGTTAAAAAATTCAGTAATTACTATGTCCCTTTTA